TGGAAAAGACCCTGATGTTGGGAAAGTGTGAAGGCAAGAGGAAAGGGGACGACAGAGGACGATATAGATGGACAGGGTCACCGAAGCAACCAACGTGAATTTGACCCAACTCCAGGAGGCAGTGGAAGACAGGAGGGCCTGGCGCGCTCTGGCCCATGGGGGTCACGAAGAGTCAGACATGACTAAATAACAACAAAGCAAGGGTCTGAAGATGGGGATTTTGGTGCATAAAAGCTGGTGCCGATATAAGTATAGGAGTCTTTAAAATGCCACAATATTTTGCTTCCTCTCTCTTCTGCAATTCCCTTTAATTTGGCCAGCACTAAGGCGAGAGCCTCTTTGCCCGAGGCTACTCCCCGAGGTGTGGCCTCCCTGTTTTTGTCTCTGGCCTTTCCCCCCCACCACCACCACAACCACGCCAGCGAGGGTCGGGCCGTTGCCGTGGAAACCGAGCAGGCCGCGCTGGCCTCCCTCCCTCCCTCTCGGCTTTCGCCCTCCAGCCGGGAGAGGAACTGAGGAGGGGAAAGGGAGGCTGGGCCGAAGTGGCGGAAGAGGAGGAGCCCGGCATGGGCGGCGGGAGGGCCTCCGAGCCACGCCGAGCCGCCGTCGGGAGGGAGGCCGCCGGAGGAGGAAGAAGAGGCCGGGTTCCCTTTGACGCCCTCCCCGTCCCTGCTCGAGAGCGCTGCTGGTCGCGAAGCCGAGGCGGGCCGGCGGAAACCGCCGGGAGAGCCCGAAGGCGGGCCGAGGAACGAGGCAGAGCCGCGGAGACCCTGAACGGGTGCGTGAGGGGGCGGCTTCGGTCGGGGCTCCGGGCCCGGGAAGAGGGCGACGACGACGACGAAGACGAGGCGGCCCGGCCCTCGCCAAGCCTTCCCCTTGAGGGGCCCACGAGGGTGGGGGGGGGAGAGAGAGAAATATATATATATAAAATAATTTATTCATATATAAATGAGACACCCCAGCCGGGTCTCCTTGCAGCCCACAAGCCGGGTGAAACCACCACAGGAGAATGAGAGGCTGGTTTATTTATTTATTTATTTATTTGATTTATACCCCACCCATCTGATCTAAAAGACCACTCTAGGCGGCTTGCAAAAGAAGCATCTTGTTATCTTTTGTTACCTTGTTACCTTGGATATCTGTCTGTCTGTCTATCTAGCCATGTATGCATGCATATGTATTCTCTATCTATCTATCTATCTATCTATCTATCTATCTATCTATCTATCTATCTATCTATCTATCTATCTATAGATACAGTATAGATATAGATATTTGCACATACTGTACATACATGTTTGTATACATATAGATACACATACATGTGTGTGTGGATGTGTATATAGCCAAAGATAACAGGTAACTAGATGTAGCCAAAGATAGCAAGATGATTCTTACGCAATAAGAAGTAGCTGTAGGACTCCATAGGATGGACATACACACCCACACACAAACTTTTGCTCTAGTAGGATGGACACAGACAGACAGACACACTTGTTGTGCTTACTCCCTGGAAAAGACCCTGATGTTGGGAAAGCGTGGGGGCAAGAGGAGAAGGGGACGGCAGAGGATGAGGTGGTTGGACAGTGTCATCGAAGCGACCAACATGAATTTGACCCATTGTAAGAATAAGAGGAGCTGTGTGAAAGCATATTTTAGCTAAGAAACATGTTAATTCTATGGAGGACTTTGATTATCAGGATTGTAAGGCAATCTTTAATGGTTCACTTTGTTTCACTTCAGTAATAAAGAGAAAATAGATTAAAGGATTAACGGTGTCTTATCAATGACCATGTAGGAGGGAAAGAGATGATTGACGAAGTAGTATTGGAAATTTTTGAAACTTTTTAAAAAGAAAAAGTAACAGTTTCTTCTCCATTTAGAAGCTAAAATGTCTTCATGGATCAAAGCAAATTCAGATCAAGCACAAGCTCCTGATCCTGAAAAAAGGTAAAAGCAAAGTTTTGAGTTACATATGTTTATTTGTTTCTTCAGTTATTTATTTATTGAAAGAATATTTAGAATTTAAATAATTCTAGAAGCTAGCATTGATACCGGAGGGGATACTGGTACTGTATTTTAACATAGCTACTGCAGCTATATGCGCTGACAATGCTTCGAAGTTTCTCTATATATCTCTATGTACCTACAAAGCATAAACACTGTTCTGTATCTATACCACAAGCCCTCTTGATGTATTTTAACATGTCTCGGTGTACTCAATGTACCTTAACATAGATGTACTTTATATTTGTATTATCACTTGATTTCATTTTAAAACTGATATGAGCAGGGAGTTGGACTCAATGACCTTTTAGGCTCTCTCCAAGTTCATTATTCTAGGATTCTATAATACAGTGTGTGCTTATTTGATTATGTTTTCCTAAACGCTAAATAGGTTGAAGTTTGCATTTAAATCATTAGAGATAATCCTATTGACGTCACTGACATTTCTGTGCATAAATGGGAGTGTAACTGAACCTTTTAGGAACTGGGCACTTACCTAAAGCGCATCAATCATGTTTTCTCCTCCTTTCCACCCAGCCCTAGCAAACACAATTGGCAACTTTCCTGCATAATGGCACACTAGGATTCCTGGCTCACCAATGAACTGCATGCCTGTACGCACACACATGCACAAAAGTGTTCATTTCTTTGTTGTTCCTGCTCACCAGGAAACAACAGCTGTGTGCTGCATCTGCACTGTGGGTCATGATTCATTACTCCCAGACAAGTAGCAAACTTCATGCATCCACAGTAATACCCATTTTGTTGCAGGACTCATTGCTGAGAGGACTGGAACTTGTACAGACATCACCCAGTAAAATTCCACATTACCACCGTGCATTGTTTGGTTTTCTGCAACCCTGTCATTTTTCATAATTATGTAGGATGGTTACATTGGGCAACCTTTTAAAAATGAGCTTCCACCCACCTACCCAAAGAAAGGTTTGAGAGAGAGGAAATAGATGAAGGAAAAAAGCAGACTAGGATTTTCTGAAGAATACTAGCAATGAGGTGTCCACTTTTAGGAGCTAAAAATAGCTTTCTTAGTCAATTATTAGCGTGGTGTGTTAATGAAGCGCTCTGATCATTTGAAATATATAAATCCTGCCTGAAACAGTAGCTTCCTGTTATTGCTTTGTATATTTAAAGAATGTCTATATAGACATGGGTTTTTTAAAAATAAATATTCCTCTTGTAAAGAAATTTGCTGCAATAATTTAATTTTGATGTAATGATAGCTATTAGCAGCGTGTTTTCCATTTACTGTACGTTAACCTGCACTCCCCTCACAACTCTTTATTTCAAATCTAGGCATAGACCTGGGTGGATTCCTCGACTTCTGGAGTAAGTAATATAAGTATTTTTGGTTACATTGATATGTATGTTTTCTTTAAAACAACAAAACAAAACCTTAATCCAGTTGTTCTGTATGTAAAGGTGCAATTTTTTACATCTATCTTAGTGGTTCTCAATCTTTGTTCTTCTTAGATGTTTTAAGCTTTAAATTGCAGAAGCCCTAACCAGTGGCCCGGGCTTCTGGGACTTCAGAATTATATTGATAGTCTGATATACTCTCTCAGTCTGTTTTCTGACAGTTGTAGCCCTAAATAACATAAATCTTCCTGTGTCTGCACACATGTTCCAGAATGACCCTCTGAAACTGATGTATGTCATTTTTGTTCAGGGGCAGGGTGTGTGAGCTTTTCAGTGAGTTCTTGCAGTATGTTACTTAAGTTAGCCGGTTGGTTAATCTAGGTGTTTTTTGTACTATTGTAGAAGGGAGGCAGATTTGCTTATTTAGGACTTTTAATGGAAATACAAACCAAGTAGCAAACACATCAGTTTGAGAACATTGTGTGTTTGTTTGAATAATAGTTTGTTGCAGGGTTGGTTTTTTTTTTCACACCCTTTGAGTAACAGTTATGCATTCCCAAAACATTCAGACTGGATATCTGTTTTCCTTGGAAGACACCTCCTGTGCGGGTGGGGGTGGGGGTGGCCATTCAAATTGATATATAAGAGAGCATATAATCTTAACAATGTTAATAAATGAATGACTTTCAGGGTGGATAAAAATAAGTGATTTCCTTAAGAATTAAATTGATTTATATTGATAGTCTGATATACTCTCTCAGTCTGTTTTCTGACAGTTGTAGCCCTAAATAACATAAATCTTCCTGTGTCTGCACACATGTTCCAGAATGACCCTCTGAAACTGATGTATGTCATTGCTTTTTGTTCAGGGGCAGGGTTTATTTCTTTAATAAAATAATGATTATGTGTTGTCAAGTAAATTCCAACTTCTGGGAAAGTTTCGGATACTGTTATGACCAAACATTAGGTACAGCCATACTTTCAAAGAAATAAATGACCGAAACAGGGTGGATAAAAATCAATGATTTTTTAAAAATGAACTTAATTTAAATACTTTTTTCAAAATTTAAATAATAAAAAAATCTGATTTTTAAAATTTAAATCGTGGTTTAGATCAAATCCACCCTGAGTTTGTTACTAAAATGGTAGATGGCTTTAATAAAATAATGATTATGTGCTGTCAAGTAAATTTCACCTTCTGGGAAAGCTTCCCAGCCTTTTCTAAGTGTAGAGTACTCAGACATGGTTTACCAATCCCTCCTTCTAGTGACACTCGGGGACCACACCATTTGCCAAAGGCCACACAGGCAGCAGGGCAAGTAACCCCATCAGCCACCTATGCGCCAACCGCTCTAGCAGAAGGATATTGATTTAAACCCCTGGCCCTTGGTTCCACAGACAAAGGCTTCAATCCATTGAGCTCTACCAGATCACTATGAATTCTTACAATAATAATAATCTGTAGTTGATGCAATCACAGTACACTTGCAGAGAGCCTTTTGGTTCGCTCAGTCAATTCTCTGGGTTGCTTGAGGGAGCATCCCTGGAAGACACCTTCATGGAGACCTGTTGTCAGGGCCTGCGTTCTGAATGATGTTGTTTCCATCATTCCTACTGGGGCACCACTCGTGCGCGGTGTGGCCTTATTGCCCCAACTCTCAACAAAACGTGCTGGAACCAGGATGAGGGAAGAGAACGCTGTGCCCTCCTGTATTCTGGCAAGTTTTCCTAACGTCTGAGTGGAGGGGAAACGGCTGTTTCTGTTTGTCTTCATGGATAAAAGAGTTTCAAGCCCCTTCTCCACTGCTTCAAGTAGAGTTCAGAATTCCCTAGGGACAACTTGTTCTCCTCTTTAAGCCAGTACAATCCAAAGATTCTTCTGAAAATCTTTTCTCTGTCTATCTTACTATTTCTAGCATAAATCCTTACAAATCCATTCAGAAGAGCTCTTACTCACCTCCCGATGGTTATTCAAAGGACTATGAAGATGCTAACAGGTGAGAGAGTTTTTCTCTGTAATTATTTTAACTGTAACGCACTCCCTACTCACCAGGCATATGGCAAATCACAATGGGTTGGATTGAGTCTTCCTAAAATGTTTATTCTGTGCCTCTGGAATACAGCTGCCAATCTCCCTTCCTTCTATAGGGCATAACCCTTGCATCTCAAAGGAGCTGTTTTCCCCGGAAGGGACCTCCCGTGTGTATGGTGTCCAATACTGCATAGATAAGACAGTTGCTGTTAGGGTCCATCTGAAATTACACTGGAGAAAGCACCGTGGTCATTCAGTGGTGGAACACATGCAACGAATGCAGGACCACCAGTGGCTGATGGCCCGAGGGAGATGGTGCTTACCCCGCCTACCGGTTTGCACCGCGAGTCGCTGCATTGCTAAGGGACCCTTGCCTAATGATTAGTATCTCCAGTTATGAAAGGATCAGGTAGGAGGTGGCGTGAAAGACCTCTGCGTATGAGGCCAAAAGACCACTGTCCAGAGGAAACCTTGGTCAGCAAAGTAGCCAAAGAGTCCTCCATGGTATCAGGCAGTTTTTTATACTACCTTTGTGTAGTGTGGGCGGCATCTAAAATAAATAAATAAATAAATAAATAAATGATGGCTAGTTGTTTTCTGTATTTATAAACAGTGTTCAACTTGAAGTTTGTAAAAGGGTTTAGAAACCAAACTGAAGCTAGAATGAACAATTTAAATACTTTAAAGAAGTCGACATAAACAAGCAGGGGTAAGGGAGTGTGTGCATAGCTATGCCTATTCTGTAGTCCTGACAATGTACAGTTTCCCACACCTCCTGCCATGTGCATCTCCCCTGATGCCAGATCTACCATGTCTCTGAGGCTGCCCTTGCCGTAGTTGACTAGCAGTGTGATTGGAGAAGAAGAATTGACTAGCAATGGGGTTGTGCAAGGGTGGTAATTGCAAAGAAGAATTATGATTTCCCACTTCAGATGGAGACTGTAGAGTGGAGAGTAATCAGAAATGGCATTATTTTCTTCATCATCACCATCGTCTTTGAACTGCAGGGCTGAAAGGGCACTATGGATCATCAGGTCCAGCCCCTGTCAAGGAGACACAGTGGGGGATCGAACTCCCAACCTCTGGCTCTGCAGCCAGATTCCTAAACCCCTGAGCTAATCTTCCTGATTTTCTTTTGTGCATAACGCACTTAGCTTTGAAGAGCTCTTTGGGCAGCAGTATCATCCATCGACAGGGAATGAAGATAACTACGAGAGATACCACTATTCCCAGAAAGGTAAGATGGCTTCCCTGGTGGCTTTTGTTCAAACAGTGCAAAAATAAATATAACCTCGGGTTTGTTTCTTAGTCATGCTACGTAGTTTGGAAAAAACGAGGGGGGACAGACTTCCTTCTTGCCCAAAAACAAAAAAAAGCCTTCCTTATGCAGGGAAGATGACCATAATGCACTTTTGACTCCTTGCTGCCATGCACTTCTAGAAACAGGTATTGTGGAGTTTATGCTGCATGACCATGTGGTAGCAAAGAGAGGGAATCAGTGCACTTATAATGATAGTTTTTCATCACGGCCTGGCATGCGGCACCCCTGCTGCATTTCCTTCAGTGTGTTTTCTCCCCTCTTCAGATGATGACTACACCAAGGACGTTCTTCGGGAGAAGCTGTACCTGCAGTTTTACCAGCAGATAGAGAAGGAATACGATAAAGATAGGCCTTCAGATTGTGTCATTGTTTCGATCAGCAAAGATCAAGCGTAAGTTTTTTTGGGGTTTTCCCAAGACGTTGCTTATGGATAGCAGTGATCTTTGAACTCATCTTGTAATGTTTGCCTTTTGTTTTCACAGTGAATAGAGCAGATAAGAATTTTTGTGTTGCCTAAAAGTTTTTTTTTTCCCAAAGTGGTGCAAACCTGTGCTAGGCTACCGATGCCCAATCATCACCACCACCTGGGACTGCAGCCTCTCTGTTCCTTTAAATAGTTGCCTATTAAGGAGGTAGGAGGTGATGTTAAAAGAGGTGCTAAATCCTCTCTCCTGTTCACGCCTGGGAGGATGAACACAAGGGACAGAAACAGCAAATCGAAGGCAGGTTCTGCACCTACCCTCCATGCTCCATTTTTTCCCCTTTCAGTTGCCTTCCTGAACTACAACTCCCCACGCAAATGGACCTGACCCACATTTAGAGATACGAATTTGCCACATTGGCTCTATCGATGAGAGTTGGCTTTGATTCATGCACCTTTTGCAGGGTTACAATTATAAGTTTAATTCTGATTCATCTGATTGTGCCCCACAAAAGAAGCCTTATTGAAAAGGAACACTGAAAAATTTCATTTATTTTTTTTTTTGCTCTCGGCTGTTTAAAAAATCCATGGCCACATAATACACCACCTGTTCACTTAAGGAAATGTGAAGTATGCATCATTAACAAAGATTTGTCCTTTTGCGTACTCATTATTACAAGTGCCTGCAGTGGGACACATTGTCTTGATCTGGATTGCCCAAACATGATTTGAATGTTGCCATAAATCAGGATTGTTTGTGTGTTTTTTAAGCATTTGATATTTTAAAATCTTTTTAAAATGGAGGTTTGAACAGAACTGTGTTATTGCTAGATGAAATCAATTTAGGAAATGTACTCTAGATCTATAGAGCAGTGGTTGTTTGTAAAAACTGGGAGCTGATAAGATTATTCCATAAATGAGGTTTCACCGAGTACTCAATGTCCACGTGATTTGACTGTAAATGCCAGGAGCTTCAAAACAAACTGTATCTTCAGCGCATGATACTTAATATTCTATTTGCAACTAAATAGTTTTTCTTATCCTCTTTCTGAACAAAATATTTACATGCAGTCTTACACATTGCAACTGCATGTCAACACTCTTGTACATATTAATATATCTTTTATCACTTCCATCTCAAGGTGCAATATTCGGATTTTTCTCAGCTTCAACACCTTCCGGTGCAAAAATACTCATCCATTAAAGACAAATTTGATGCCTTTGTTAAATAATGAAACTTAGGGAGTTCTGTAATATTTCAATCAAGGTTTTCTCACTCTGTCATTCCCTTTTGACTCTTCAATCTGTTGTAGTATTAATGTTAAACAGAGCTGCTTAATTTGCATCCAGAAGCTATTCCCTTGGAAGCTATTTTCTGATTCTCCATGCAGTGTTCAAGCACATTTTCTATCATAAAAGCAATTGCTGTCTCTGTTGAAATACTACAGTATGCTGTCGGTTTTCACTTAATGAGTTATCAGCATAATTTAAGCTGTTTATTCACTTGAAATACTGTGAATCTTATCTGGTAATGATTTTAAACATGGCTTATATCTTATTTTTCCCTGGATATTTCACTATAAGAATAATACATGGGGTCTATATTAGACTTCTTTAGTACAGAAGTTTTATTTTTCCTTCCAGTAGCAAGTAGATGGGTTGAATACGTTATCTGCCTTTCATCCACTCTTGTCATTAGTGGACTAATCTTGCGTCTCCACCTAGAACAAGATAATATAACAGTGTTTGCTTGGTCACTCGTCCTCATGCAAGTCTCGTTCTTATCATCTTCAAAAGATACGGCCACTTGGCCATCCATCCTTCTGGTTGTGTGGTCAACCGTGGCTTTCACCCTAGAAAGGGCCTTCTAACGTCACTCACTAAAATGCTTGTGGAGACATAATAGAATGATAATCTCAGCTCTTGATGCTTTCTGAGGCCAGAGGGGATATATTCTTAAAACATTCTCAAACTCTTAATATTAGTTTGAGCATAACAAATACGATTTTACCATTTTCAGTGGAGAAATCCTGAAGGTCCCAAAAAGTCAACCAGCACTCATTCAAAATAGTTTTGAAATATAGGATACCTCCACGTAAATCACATTACCGCACTCTCTTCCTGTCGATGGCTGCCATTCCAACAACATCTGTCTGATATTCTTGCCCCCACAATTTGTCATTTTGCCTTGGAGATAAAAATAAAGCCTCTGCAGTGAAGTCAATGACTGTCACTCACATGGAATGACCCAGAACAGGAGTCTCATTTCACTGGTGGGATTCCACAATAAAAAAGCAAATACAAAGTTAAAAATACATGTCGTGTCTTAATCTGGTGGCCATTTTCTAAACTACTTTGAAATGTAATTTGTGCTGTCTTCTCTTTATTTTTTTTAACTGCGGAAACGTATGTAAAGTCCTAGAACAGAGAGCCGACTTGTATTTCACTACGTCTTGTGAATTATGGTCTTGTTAATTACCAAGAGCTAAACACGTTGGCATAAACACACAGTTTCTCATTTTACAGACGAGCAGGAAGCCTTGCTTAAATGTGTTCTATCTGTAAATTAACCAGATGTTCAGAGATACCAGATTGCTTCTCACTGGTACAAACAGGAGCCTTTTTCCCCCCAGCTGCCCCTGAAATGGAAGCTAACCAAGTTTCATTTTGTGTTCCTGTGCAGTTCACCTACATAACAATGGAAGCTTGTGCCAAAGTACTTGTAAAACGAAGTCCATTTCGCTTAGCCCTAAATTCCACAGAGCTTCGCTTTCATGGATCAATCAAAGGCGAAAAAACGTTCCATTTCCGATTGTAAAGAAATCAGTTGTCTCCAATGGAGAAGCCCAAACAGAAAAGGAAGAATGGCTGAAAATCCGCAGAGTGTGTGTGTGTGTGTGTATGTATGTATGTGTGTGTGTGCACGCGCGCATGTGTGTGTGTGTGTGCATGCGTGTGTGTGAAAATGTAGCTTTCAAGAGAGAGAGAGAGAGAGAGTGTATGTATGTGTGTGTGAAAATGTAGCTTTTAGTCCAGGGTCTTTATCCACTGGCCAGTTGGCAACGAATGCAGGAAGCGGCTTGACCCTAACTCGAACTGGTGGTCCACATGGCTTCGGCGTATAAGGAGAGTTTCAGGCAAGAGCCTCTTTTCTACATGGAGACCACTGATGTTGCTAATCTCCCTTCTTACTCCTAGCCAAGCCCAACCCTCCTTCCTTTCCAAAATCAGAAGTAATGGCTGTATTCAGGGTGTTGTGGTGAAGCGAAACTCCGTTTGGCAGAGGTGACTGCTTGATTACTGGCTTCATTTGAACAGTCCTCAAAACCAAGCCCGATCCTTCCCATTTCATGTGGATGGGGTAAATAGAAAAGACCCCCAGTGTTCTCGTAAACTGCCCCTCGAGTCTTCAGAACATGGGCACTAAGTTTTTATTTCTTGGAATTATTTGTAAAATAACCTGCTTCTTCTTTTTTTTCCTTCAAGGGAATATTCAACAGCCATAGGCCATCGGTTGCAGGATCATGGCCTTGTGGTGGAAATGATATATCTTACATCCGAATCAGGTCTTACTCGTGCCCTCCAGGAAGTTAAAAACGATGGTTCCCCATTTTGTGTTCTTGTTGAACCGTCTAACGTAACACTTTGCTCTTGCACCGTAATCATGCTTCATCAGTCTATCAAAAGTAAGTTCGGCTTCCTTGAAAAATAGTCCCCATATTTTCTTTTAAAAAGGGCAATCTAGGTCTCTGGTCAACCTATAAAGTATTAAAACATATCACCAATTAGGATATTGCTTCTGAATAAAAGTTAAGTCCCCTTTAAAACATTGCTGAATGTGTGGAACATCAAACACTCACCCACGCCCAAAAAAATCTTGTTCTTTAAAAAAAAATGCAATACCTCTTGTTTTCTAATTGTAATGTTCAGGCTTAACTTTCTCCTCGTATTTGAAACAGGAAAGGAACACGACTGAACTGGGTGTTTTTCCTGGATTCAGAAAACAATTCTAGCTTCAACACGAATTTCCTAGTACTTTCCTTCTATTCAGGAACAGTTTTATAAAGTTATTCCATTTACAAGATTAATTGATTTTAAGGGGTTGCCCCGTTATCTTTCCAAAAGCGCACATGACAGGACACCTAGTGGAACTGAACGGGTTTATCTTGAGCCGTGAATATAATAAGATTCTGTTAAAAGCTCAGCTCAAATGGATTAATGTTGAATCGGGCGCTGGCTTTTAACATCGGTGGATGGGTGGTGCAAAAACACACACAGCCGTATTGTTTTGGGTTTTGTCTTGAACTTTTTGAAAAGCAAGGTATCTCTCTTCTCTGTAGTACACCGTAATATGCCCATGGAGGATGCATTGGCTCTGATAGCTAAAGAATTTGAGAACATTATTCCTGCGCGCGAACAACAGGAACGCACAGAGATTTCCCACAAAGCCGCTGATCTGGCAGATGACTACTTAGAGCGGGAGCTCTATGAGAGTTACCACGTGCCTCTAGGCGTTAGGCACCTCCTTTTTCTCTTAAGTGAGGGAAAACATTTATACGTGGAAGAACTGAATTCAATAAGTGACTACCTGAAGACCAGGAGAAATAAGCTTGAAGGTATTAACCATTTCCCCACCTGTTCCCCTATAAACCCCACTATTTCAAAAACAGCTCTTGAGTATTTGCGGTATAAAAAAGGACACAAAAGACCGAACGTAATGCCCTGCCCTGCCCTTCTTCATAGGCCATTTTTATGTATCAGTGCAAACATTTCCTAAAATTAGCTTTACGTCCGTCTGGCTTTGTAGGCAAAAGGGACACCCTACACTTCTGCGATAGCGGCATCTGTGAACTACATTTCCAGTAACTCTTCCCGTTATATGTGGTTCTGGGGGTTAAAATAGAACCAAACGCTGTGGATTCGTGTCCTTTGTGCTGTGTCTGTGTGCAGAGAACCCCCCTTTATCCAGGGTCTGTTTCTGTGCGCCTAAAAAACATCCACTTGCTGCTGTTTAAGACAGAGCATTTTTAAGACACATCCCCGTAGCAGTGGAGTAAAAGCGCCGTCAGGTCTGTTGCATGTCGTGGATTTTACTTTCTTGCTAAGTTGCTATTAAGAATGAAAGAGGGAGGATAGAGAAA